TATGAAACTGTCCACACTATAATCTTTTCATATTCAGTGGATGTACCCAGCTTCTTTCTTTTACATACATCATCTAATGCCTCCACTACATACGATCGGTGTAAGCTGCTGACGATCTAATACTTCATTAATGTACGCTATTTTTAATGGATCCATTACACTATATGACACAAACACCCGTACAAACGCTTAAAAGCAACTGAAGAAAATACGTTCCTTTGGCGCCCCAACCCAATTTAAATTGAACGAACTGCGAGATTCAAAAAACGCGACTCACAAGTCACAAAATTGCGCTCGTCTAGCCTTACCCTTAATAATTTTGTAGCTTCGGTGAGGCTCCGGATTAGTTTGAAATATGTTCCGAGAAAATGTAGTAGGAAGAATTTCAGGACGATTGGAGAGATCTGTAGTAAACAATTTGTACAGAGCTAGTCGAGTCTTGGAGTACATCAAACGTGTTTGTAAAAAGAATGAAACACGGAAATATTTTCCATAACGGAACTGGAATAGTTGCGAGCAAGCGGCGCGACGACAATCTTGAGTAATACGGTGTGGAATGCTTCTCAGAGTTTTACTCAAATTTCTCATAAAAAATGAGTTGGCTAAAAGTTATAGAATCTTGCCTCACTAAGTGTATTTAGGAGTATTTTTAAGTCTCCAAACTTATCATCATCATCTTCATTATATCAGCCGGAAGACGTTCACAGCTGAATATAGACCCCCAAATATTTCCAGATTAGTCGATCGGACGCGGCGTGCAGCCATCGGTTACCCGCCGCCCTTATCAGGTCATCCATCCATCTAGTAGGGGCTGGCCCACTGAATGCTTTCCGTTTCGTGGTCGAGAACCTTTCTGCCCTAACGGCCGTCAGTTCTACGAACTATGTGCCCAGCCCACTGTCACTTCAACTTGCTTATCCTTTTAGCTATGTCGGTGAATTTCGTTCTTCTATGGATCTCCTCATTTCTGATTCGATCACGTAGAGAAATGTCTCTGTCACTTTGAGCTTTTTTATGGGGCCCATAGTAAGTAACCACATCTCAGAGCCGTAGGTCATCTCAGTTTTCCCGAAAGCTGTTTTACCGAGTCGGATTCGACGACGATTGACCTCTTTTTCGAAGTTGGCTCTGCCTAATTGGACGGGTTGTCCAAGGTAACAACTTCGAGAGTAGAGGTTCTCACTGTTATAGGGTTGGTACGACATGGACATTCGACGTAAGTTTCGTTTAGTCCATGTTCATTTTTAAAGCCACCTGCTGGGAAACTCTATCAAAAATTATCAGTATCCCTATAATTACTTAATTTAAATTATACACAGGTCTCACTACATAATATTAAGGGATTATTTGGGTAATAAAATAAAGTTATTTGTGTATTCCATTTAATGAAATACATAAATTCGGGTTGGCACAACAACAATTTATGCTATTGGATATTGAACAGTGGAAATATAGACAAGAATTCTTCAGTCATAGAAACAACAGGATCTTAACTTATTGTAGGACTGTACACATCGACTGAGAATGCGTAGAAAAATAAATAGGTTTTAGAGCTCATATACTCGGTGTTAGTGCAAGAGATCAGCCCCGAGCGACCGCAGCCATGGTAGCTAGTTTTACATCCGAGTCGAGGCCATGATCAATGAGTATATGACTTCATTGAATAAATAGCAAACGTGGCCGGTCTGCTGCCCGCGACTAGCCGCTTGTTGGAAAACAAGCGCAAGTTTGAGTGTAGTGTCTGTCACGCGATAAAATTTATGCCGTAATTATTTACTATACGGAGCGTTTCAAAACCTTATATAGAGCTGTAGTACTTAATTTTAAAAATACACGTTACAGCTCAAGAAACAATTTTGGTTCGATAGCTATTTGAAATTCAGAACAATTTTCCAACATAAATCGGAAAAAATGATTTTTTTTGTTTGAGGTAGTGGACTGCAGCCAACATGAAAGAACTATTCCCAAAATACATAAATATGTACATTCGCTATAGAATGAATATAATTGTATTATTATCAGTCGCTGTGCAATTTTTGTTATTGAATTACATGTTTTAGGTCTTATGAATGATTTGGATTTTAAATATACAAAGTTATTTTTACATATAATAAGAATAGCATTTTATATACACAGTGAAATTAGTAATATAATTATACATTTATTTCATTTATTTATTTTAACATGATTTAGAAGTTACTAAGTCAATGCAATGGACAGCTAAAAAAATGTTTTTCTTTTACGAAATGCTTATACAAAGTTATGAGATACTCAAAGACGTTATGAGAATTGAGCTTATTAACAACAGAATATTATGAATTACTTTCTTTTAAACGCAATATAATGCTAATAATGCAAGTTCATTCAATACATGTAGAATATTTTGTTATTTTCTCGTTTTTGTATTTACATAAGTACCTACCGCAGCAAAAATCACCTATATAACGGTATTTATTTTTAAAGTATTTTTTCTATATATAAACACAATATCACATATGACAACTAACATAGAAAAATCTCAAAAATTGCGTTATAATTATATTTTATACCAAAAATTGCGATACATATATATCGTCAGCTAAATTCGTAAACCTCATAATTTGTGTTAATGTGAAAAGCAGAATTACTAGAAATAATTACAAGACAATCTTTGATTAAACCTCTATTTTGTGACTAAAAAGGCTCTAGAAATTATATTTTAAACTTTAATTGCCCGATATTGCCATTGAAGAGAAAAAAAGAGATGTCGTCTAAAAACGAAGTTGCGAGCATTTCAAATTTAGCCGACGATATGTCATTCGTATATGATTCAATTTCAAAGTGATAGGACAGCACTGTCACTTTCCAATTAAATCGGTTACGAATTACATACTTAATAAATGCAATTTTTGAGATAATACATAGATAGATAACACTTTATTCAATTAGTATGACACAAATACAGATTGAATACAACAGGAACAAATAAAACATTTTTTGTCATAGCAGTGAAATGGCGCTGACTCAACATATGCCTAAGATCCCTAAGGCGCTGGTTTTCAGTCAGAATAATATGTTAGTTAATCATGTGCGTTATAGATGCATATCAGTAGAGTATAAACAAATTATTTTTTGAAATGCTGACAAGCTGTTAAACACAAATGTCTGTTGAATGAAACAGGGTATAATTTGTCTATTACTCGTTACAGGCCTACCGCTTAACAGAGTCGGTTCCTAAGATAGCTGCGCGGTATGGAAGGAGTGCAAAGAGTGCCTGCCAAATTAGTCAATTGTTGTTATATGAAACGAAGATAAAAAATCTATTTCATTGATAGTAGAAATTAATTCAAAAGCATTTGGAGCTTTTTTTCAATCAACTTGTTGAAATAATCCCGTGTGCAGCTCGACATAAGTGTTACGTAAACTGTTACTCCTCCCGCACCGCGCAACTACCTCAGGAACTAACTCAGTTAAGCGGTAGTCAGTAGTAAACATAACCATGTTGTATGAACCAAGTTACATCTTGTAGTGCTAATTTTTGGTAACACTTCTCTCAATGGATCAAGTGCCGTGGTGATTTTTTTTGTTCATTTCATTTCTTTAGAGATGCGATTAAAGTCGTTAACACAGGCAGCAGCAGCAAGATTAATAGCCGCTCCTATATACTTTTGTATTGTCAGAAAACCGCGTGCGTACCACAAGTGTGAAACGATTAATCATTTCGTTCATATAAAAACTCTTCAGTATCAACAAATCAGTAGAACACAAAGTGTTTTATTGTAGCTAGCTATAAAGTTGATTAAATGCTTATCTAATCACGAATGGTATAAAGAGAAAGATGATTGCGACGTTCCTTTGAAAAGCTGCTGATGCGGCTCGTGACGGCTCCGGCTCTTCTGTAATGGAAAACGACAGTTAATTAAATTTTATCAGAATGAAGCCCTTCTAAAATACTATTGGGACAAACTTTTGCGTTCTAGTAGATGGAGAGATCGCTTATCGGTCTTTACATTTCTTTGCGTTTATGACAGGTGGTGGTAACACCAAGTCCATTCCATTGATTTCATTCAAAAACATTTATCTTAATTATAATATTTTGACGCTACCTTTAAACCTACATGAGATATGTAAGGCACGCACAATGATAGGGCGTGGCTTGCGCGAGAGCGACATAAAGTGCGAGATACTGCTATTCTCGCATAGAGATCCCGCGCTTTCACGTCGCGCCCTGCTGTGCTAGCCCTACAGTATTTTTTATAACATGTAATGACGTTGCTACATTAGGATATATAATTTGTTAAGATGTCCCTAATCTCCTCATGTTGTGATAATGTTACCGCAATATTGATGTAGTAAAGTTATAATTCTTTTTTCAAATCTTTTACTTTTACCTAATTTTAAATGTCATTACCGTAGTGCTCATATCTAAATTTGCAAATTTAAACATAGTATCTTATGGTGTCGAAGTATTAACATAATATAATAAGTTAGTAGCACTTAGTGCAACTCCCGCCTGTTCGGCGAATCAATGCCTACACTTTGCTCAGAGCTCATAGGGTTTTCACATTATTATTTTAGCTGTACATCTATATGTTGTAAACATAATTCTAGTGCTATATTGATGTAACCTTTGTTAAATGCAGAGCTGCAGAGGAAAGAGTAGAGACGATCAGTTTAGATCTTAGCTTCAAGATCAACCATGCTAAGACCAAATTAATGGTGGTAGATCGTTTGGACAGTTTGAAGCTGACGGGCTCAACCTTGAAACTGTAGAAGATATAATATATTTGGGCATGCATATAAACAACACCGGGTCGTGCGGAAAGGAGATTCGAAGGCGAATAGGAATGGCTAAAGGTGCTATGGCCCAACTATAGACAGTATGGAAGGACCGTAACATCGCTCATAAAACCAAGATGACATTGGTGAGCTCTCTGGGGTTAATGTTCAATTATGGGGTGGAAACGTGGACACTAAAAAGGCGGAACATGACCGCATTGACGCCTTCGAGATGTGGTGCCGGAAGGAAAATGTTGCGAATCCGTGAGACTGATTTTGGCACCAAGACTCAATTCTGCGGGATCTTAACGTTCAGACCAGACAATCTAACTATGTCTCCGTAGGATACTTGATCTTTTTATCACATTGCCAGCAAAGAAGAGCACAACCTGGAACAACTAATAGTTTCCGGACGGATCGACGGTAAACGTCCGAGTGGTCGCTGTCCTACAAGATGGCCTGTCGAAGTTTGTACGGCTCTTAGCATGAGTCACCAAGATGCACTCCACTATGCCGAAAACTGCCATAGATGGCAGTGTCGTCATGCAGAAATTGTTTCCGCAGGGGAGTCATGACCCTTAATAATGAGGAATACGACGCGATGGGAAGGAAATACAGTACTTACTTATGATATTTGTATATAAGCATCGCGGGTTTATATTTCGGTTACGTGAGTATGATATGAAATAATAATGAAATAAATAAAACTGAACAATTCTAAACTTGAGGCACTCTTGCTCACAACCATAAACACAACAATAAACACGTCTACTATTTGATGTCATTTTTAAACACTAAGCTGATGCTTAGTAGCAGAAAAAAAGAAATGCTTTATTCCTATAGCGAATGGTTAGTACGGCGACACGTGCTATGCAAACCGAGTGCACCGCGCGATACATGAATATGTGCGTCCATACAAGGCGCGCGGTGGGCGTGCACACATACAACTTACAAGTCGCGCTGCTACGTTTGTACGGAGCGTTTGTACACTATTTGTCTTATTACGTTATGGTATTAATATCGATCGATGTATTACTAAATTGATAAAGGTAGAAACCGAGCACATACAGATACGACTTCAAAACAATCGTACGAAAAAGTACTGAAGATATTATTTTTTACAGGTGGATCCTTTTTTTCTATATCTATGGGTGGATCTTGAGTTCCTTTTTTTACGAAATATAAACATTAAGATGTTAAGTCACCTTCTGAATAAAACATTTTGTTTGAATTCGTACAACTATACCGTTTTTACTCGTCGTCGTAGGTCGTAGGTAATATGACGTGATCAATCCCAAGACTCCACTTGCGCCAACGTAAAGATTGCCAAACATAACATAACGTAACATTACCTATTTTTGCTTATAAGATTTTCGTACAACAATGACTGCTCAAAAATGAATGTTCCAGTACATTTGCGCAAATAAGGTACCAGGCTTGTGTATTATACTATATAGGACAGCTCATACCACATAATAATTTGAGTAAAGTAAGTTATGGTCACATACGTATTTGCAAGAAGGATTTTTTTTATGGCACAGCAGCAGAGCGCCAACTTAAATAGGTACTAATAGGCACACAAAAATGTCAGTAAGTACTTTTCATGCCGTAGTGCTTATATTGATTCGACATAAAATGTTCAATGTATGTAAATCATTGAACTTTGTCAGTGCATTGTTGATACTTGTCAATGGAAAAGCAGTAGGTTTCCAAGTGCTTTCTGTGTAGTTGCCGAACTACATGGAATGCACTTGAAAATCGCTCAGTAAAGCACATTGTTAATTTTTTGATATTCATTTAGCTAATACTATCATATTCTAATATTTATATTTACGGTAAACTCTATTACTATATGTCCATGAAGGGTTAAGGAAATATTTGTGAGCTGACAACATTTCAATAAACCAGAAACATTAACGGTTTGTTTCAAACATAATACTTTTATTTCATTTTGTTAAAGTTGTTTCAAATTCAGACATAAAAGTAGATAGCCAAGATTAAAATTACATTTCCGAGTCGTTATTCCAATTTTAACAAAGTTATTAGTTAAAGACTTTTCTGAGAAATGGTAGCTCAGGGTTGTACATAAAATATCTACGTAGTAATGTAACTGATGGCTATTATATATTGTGTTACTATTTGAAAAATATACGGCAAATTATTGGAAAAAAATATCTAGACGATTAAGCTAAAATGTAATAATAAATAAACAGTGCGGTGCGGTGCACGCTTGGATTCGGACGTGCTCCACTGCACAATAAGAATTATAATAATTCGCGACCCGCGCGGCAATAATTGGAGGCCTCAGACAACACCATCAGTGAGTTGCGTGCCCAAGTTGTATTGCTTAGTAGTGCGGCTTCGGTAAGTAGGTCACCTGAGGCCTGCAACGTGAACACTTGTCGCGGGGCGTAAAATGCGTCTTTCAGCAGTTTTGAGTCGGCTCACATGCATGTGTCACCGACCTGTGGCGCTGTTGCCGCGCGCGTTTCCCCGCACCCCGCCCCGCCGGAGACGACCCCTCCACGTGATTACGCAGCTGTTGCCGCTGCCCGACCTAGTACTCCACAACCACAATCCAGGCAACCAATGAAGGGAAAACCGGAAAAGAAACTCGTATCTGGAGCTGCGTCGTCAGTACCACCGAGACGAGTTGATCAGTGCGACGAGGACGGCTTTCGGAAGGTGGAAAAGAAAAAGAAGAACACCAGCCGAAACCTTAGTGGCACCGCCCTGACTGTCCCGAATCATTTATTGCGTCCAGCGGTACAGACGACGTTGTTATACGTGTCGCGTCTTCATTACTCCGCCAAGTCTGCGGATATTGTGGAGTACATGCGAGTGGAGGCCAACGCAAACCTGAGGGTCGAGCGGTTGGAGTCGCGCCACAATGTGAATTTTAATTCATTTGTGGTGCGAGTACCAACTCAACACCTGTCGACCTTCATGAGAGAAGACTTTTGGCCGAAGGGTGTCATGTACCGGCGTTTCCGAGGACGGCTACCGGACACACACGTTGCGTCACACGTCGAAGTACATACGTGTAAATAAATAGTGTTATATGTATATTATCATGTTATATTGTATTTATGATTAGTCCGTAAGGTATTTATTTAATATTTCTGTTATTGTTTTATTATATTATTGTTATATTATATGTATGTTAGTCTGTAAGGTATGTATCTATGGGTCCTAGTTGCCTGAAATAAATATAAATAAATAAAATAAAAATCAATTACTTGTGTGTTTGATTACAAGATATACCTATAGGTACATTTACATCGCAAAATATGTTAGCTGGCACATTGTCTACATGCGCTATGTATCTAGGTGCCTTCCTGGATGGCGCCTACGAAAAAGTATTTACATTTTCCTAGCGCTTAATAGTTTCAGCTAACATTACTGTTAGCCGCCCAAAATGCAGGTTACGAAAAGATAAAAAGACGACAGCGAACTGTGTGCAGTACTATGTTTTAACTATAATAGGTAGCCGCGCGCTCAAAGGACACTCGCATTGCGCATGGAACCATTTATGACTTAAATGAAATTAAAATAATTTAGTTATCTAAAACAAAGAAAAGTAGTAGTAGAGCTCCTTGTGAAAGAATTCGTCCAGGGTAGTACTGCCACCTTACCTATTTCGGCCGCCAGTAGCAGTAGCAGTAATGTCAACATTACTGTGTTCCGGTTTTGAAGGGTAAGGGTGCTGGTGAAATTACAGGCACACGGGACTTGTCAACTTACGTCTCAGGGTGAAGGGCGAAGTGGCAATGCCCCTCATATCTTTGTAATTTAAAGGTCTGGGTGGCACTGTAACTGTTATGGACAGGCATGTAGCTTACCATCAGGCGGACGACTTGTCCGTCCCGTCACTTGATGTTATAAAAAAAAGAAAAAGAAAATAAACTTTATGTATCGACCCTAATAATTCAAGCATTGAACGTCACTGTGTACACAAGCTTTAGCGGTTTGGATGGAATTAGATTTGACTCGTACTAAATGTAATTTAATTTTGTAGGTTTATACAAAAAAGGTTTAATTCTGTAGGTGCCATAGGGTACTCCGGGTTTTAACGGACAGGCTGGTTGTCCTCATATGAGGCAATCCTGTGAATAGC